AAACTCAATCCCTCTACCAATAAAACCTAACATACCGTACGCCTTCTGAACAACGCTATCAACTGGGGTGGCAACTTTCAGTGATCTATGCACATGGACACCGAGATCTTTCTGCTCATCCACACTACCAAGAATCTTACCATTAGCCCAGTACTCTGTATTCCTGTTACTCCTTCCAAAGTGAATCACCTCACACTTTTCCGCATTAAACTCCATTTGCCACCTCTCAGCTCAGCTCTGCAGCTTATCTATGTCCCTCTGTAACCTGCAACATCCTTCCGCACTATCCACAACTCCACCGATTTTGGTGTCATCCGCAAATTTACTAATGCATCCTTCTACGCCCTCATCCAGGTCATTTATAAAAATGACAAACAGCAGTCGCCCCAAAACAGATCCTTGAGGTACACCACTAGTAACTGAACTCCAGGATGAACATTTCCCATCAACCACCACCCTCTATCTTCTTACAGCGAGCCAATTTCTGATCCAAACCGCTAAATCACCCTCAATCCCATGCCTCCATATTTTCTGCAATAACCTTCCATGGGGAACCTTATCAAACGCTTTATGAAATCCATATACACCACATCAACTGCTTTACCCTCATCCACCTGTTTGGTCACCTTCTCAAAGAACTCAATAAGGCTTGTGAGCACGACCTACCCTTCAAAAAACCGTGTTGACTATCCCTAATCAAATTATTCCTTTCGAGATGATTGTAAATCCTATCTCTAAAACATTCATTTAGCGCCTCTCCTATCTCTTCAGACTTCACGCACAACTTCCCACTACTGTCCATGACGGGCCCTAATCTTACTCTAGTCATTCTTTTATTCCTGTCATACCGAAAGGAAACTTAGGGTTTTCCTTGATCCTACCTGCTAAAGACTTCTCACGTCCCCTCCTGGCTCTTCTTAGCTCTCTCTTTAGGCCCTTGCTGGCTAACTTGTAACTCTCAAGCGCCCTAACTGAGCCTTCACGCCTCATCTCTACATAAGCCTCCTTCTTCCTCTTGACAAGAGATTCAACTTCTTTAGTAAACCACGGTTCCCGCGCTCGACCACTTCCTCCCTGCCTGACAGGTACATACTTCTCAAGGACACGCAGTAGCTGTTCCTTGAACAAGCTCCACATTTCAATTGTGCCCAGCCCCTGCAGTTTCCTTCTCCGTCCTATGCATCCTAAATCTTGCCTAATCGCCTGTAATTGCCTTTCCCCCAGCTATAACTCTTGCCCTGCGTTATACACCGATCCCTTTCCATCGCTAAAGTAAACGTAACCGAGTTGTGGTCACTATCACCAAAGTGCTCACCTACCTCCAAATCTAACACCTGGCCTGGTTCATTACCCAGTACCAAATCCAATGTGGAATTGCCTCTTGTTGGCCTATCTACATACTGTGTCAGGAAACCCTCCTGCACACATTGGACAAAAACTGACCCATCTAAAGTACTTGAACTATCGCGTTTCCAGTCAATATTTGGAAAGTTAAAGACCCCATAACAACTACCCTGTTACTTTCGCTCCTATCCAGAATCATCTTTGCAATCTTTTCCTCTACATCTCTGGACCTTTTCGGAGGCCTATAGAAAACTCCCAACAGGGTGACCTCTCCTTTCCTGGTTCTAACCTCAGCCCATACTCCCTCAGTAGACGAGTCCTCATCAAACGTCCTTTTTGCTACCGTTATACTGTCCTTGACTAACAATGCCACACCTCCCCCTCTTTTACCACCTTCCCTGATCTTACTGAAACATCTAAACCCCGGAACCTGCAACAACCATTCCTGTCCCTGCTCTATCCAGGTCTCCGAAATGGCCACAACATCGAAGTCCCAGGTACCAACCCATGCTGCAAGTTCACCCACATTATTCCGGATGCTTCAAACCACCTTCCTGCCTGCCGGTACACTCCTGCGACCTTGAAACCTTATTCATGACCTCACTACTCTCAACCTCCTGTACACTGGAACTACAATTCAGGTTCCCATCCCACTGCTGAATTAGTTTAAACCCTCCCGAAGAGCATTAGCAAATGTCCCCCCCAGGATATTGGTACCCCTCTGGTTCAGGTGTAGACCATCTCGTTTGTAGGGGTCCCACCTACCCCAGAATGAGTCCCAATTATCCAGGTATCTGAATCACTCCCTCCTGCACCATTCCTGTAGCCACGTGTTCAACTGCTCTCTCTCCCTATTCCTCGCCTCACTAGCACGTGGCACGGGTAACAAACCAGAGGTAACAACTCTTTGTTCTAGCTCTAAGGGGATCCCTGCACTGTCTGCCTGTTCCCTTTCCGTCCTGACTGTAACCCATCTACCTTTTTCCTGTACCTGAGGTGTGACTACCTCCCTGTAACTCCTCTCGATTACCCCTTCAGCCTCCCGAATGATCCGAAGTTCATCCAGCTCCAGCTCCAGTTCCCTAACACAGTTTCCGAGAAGCTGGAGTTGGGTGCACTTCCCGCAAATGAAGTCAGTGGGGACACTAGTGGTGACCCTTACCTCCCACATTCTACAGGAGGAGCATGCAACTGCCCTAACATCCATTCCCACTGTTCTGAATTCCCAAACAGACTATTGAAAAAAAAACTAGTAATCTTACCAAATCAGCACTCAGAACCTTCTTTTTTGGTTAGAGGAGGAGGATGGGTGGGAGACACTACCTAGGTAGTGTTTCGGGTAAAGCAACCGCCCAAATATATTACCTCACTTAATCCAAACATGGAGTCACGCGAGGTAAGACTTTTATAATCGAAAAGCTTATCTTCCCAGGCTGCCCTCGCGCTTCCTCCCAGACTCCCGCCGCTGAAACAACTGACGTGACACTGTCCGCCCCCACCACACCCTCCCTTTTCTCCACCTTCACCTTATCAACACCAAGTTTCCCAGGGGTGTGCACATTTTCCGTCCGTCTTGTAGACAAAAACATTTTCGCCTCAACCAATTCAAGTCCATGAAGAAAATGACACTGACCTCGCTTTTGGAATTTCAGTTTACAGATAACAATGTCACGTCCATCCCTTCAGAAAAAAATCTTCAAGTCTCTGTTTATGCCTTCACAGAAGCATAACAATGAATTGGTCTCAGCCTCAACCTCAAGCTGATTCAAATCTTTTACCAACCCACAGCACATGGACTGCAGTGGTTCATTAAGGTAGCTCACCCCCACCTTCTCAAGGGCAACTCAGGTCAGATCACCTGGCATCAACCTAGGCACCAGAAAAGACAACGGCAGAAACAGCCCTGTCGACCCTGCAAAGTCCTCCTCACTAACATCTGGGGGTTAGTGCCAAAATTGGGAGAGCTGTCTCACAGACTAGTCAAGTAACACCCTGACACAGTCATACCCCTGGAATCATACCTTACAGACAATGTCCCACACACCACCATCACCATCCCTGGATACGTCCTGTCCCACTGGCAGGACAGACCCAGCAGAGGTGGCGACACAGTGGGATACAGTTGGGAGGGAGCTGCTCTGGGAGTCCTCAACGTTGAGTCCAAACCCCATGAAGTCTCATGGCTTCAGGTTAAACATGGACAAGGAAACATCCTGCTGATGACCACATACCGTCCTCCCTCAGCTGATGAATCAGTATTCCTCCATGTTGAACAACACTTAGAGGAAGCACTGAAGATGACAAGGGCACAAAATGTACACTGGGTGGGGGATTTCAATGTCCACCACCAAGAGTGGCTCGGCAGCAGTACTACAGATCAAGCTGGTCGGGTCCTCAAGGACATAGCTGCTAGACTGCGGCAGGTGGTGTCTGGGACATTGTCTGTAAGGTACGATACTGTGAGTATGACTGTGTCAGGCTGTTACTTGACAAGTCTGAGAGACAGCTCTCCCAACTTTGGCACTAACCCCCAGATGTTGGTGAGGAGGACTCTGCAGGGTCGACAGGGCTGTTTCTGCCGTTGTCTTTTCTGGTGCCTAGGTTGATACCAGGTGATCTGTCCAGTTTCACTCCTGTGAAATGAAGGCAGTCACCCTTCTGACACTTGTATATGGCTCTGAAACTGGGATTGTGTATAGAGGCTACTGCAAGGCCCTGGAGAAGTACCATGAGCACTGTTTGAGACAGATTCTCCCTATAAGCTGGGAGAACAGGTGTACTGACATCAGCATCCTTGAAGCAGCCAACAGTAATGAGGCAACGATCATCTGAAACTAACTCTCCTGGGCTGGCCACGTGCTTAGGAGTCAGAGTTCCCATTACTGAAGCAAATCATCTTGATTCAGCCCAAGGAAGGCACTTCAATGACAGGAGGAGAAAGGAAGCGTTTTAAAGACTCCCTGACAGCTTCCATCATGAAATGTAACATAGATATAAAAGGTATGAGACCCTCATTTAGAGAAAGCAACTTGGAGGAAGCTCCTCTCTAAATTTTTTGAGAATACCCGTCAGCACGAGGAAATATAGAAAAGGAACTGGAGACAGCAACGCCAACGAGCAATTCCACCGCCACTCCTCCCCGGAAACACCTGCCAAACGTGTGGTGGGAGATGTGACTCTAGGATCAGGCTCGTCAGCCACACGAGGAGCGAGAGACACCCAGGACCAGTGACACAGGATTTCCAAGGTGGACAATTACAGAGTGATTGCCAATGATTATAGAGTCTAATCATCTAAATTGAAACCTGGAGTGTGCTTCCCAACAATCCCTGGGTCTGGAAAGGAGGTAAATTCAGGAATTTTGTGTACTTTTAAAAACCTTTCACTTGTGTGACAGTTCCGGAAAAGTGGGGGTCAATTTTCAGGCCTCTCCCCCGGTGAGTTAGGGCACATATCTCAATCTCAAAAATACCACACAATCCCGCTCTGTCCCTGGATCAATCCCAGGCTAATCCTTCTCCAGCAGCCCCAGCACTGGCAACGGCTCCTGTACCTTGGAGATGAAGACACCGGGCTCGTGGATTCCAAACGGGTGGCTGGCATGGTCACTTCCTCCGACAATGCTGAGCCCCAAAGGCCCTCCTGTTTTTAACAAAACAATCTCCTGGGGGCATAAATAGATCAGAACAACTTACATGAGCTTCAGGATATATAGGCTCTCAGCAACAATACTCTCACTGGGTAATAACCCCTCACCCAAACTTTCTTCACCCACGGGAAGGGTGGGGGGGGGAATAGGTGAAACATCTCTCACCCACAGCAAGGGTGGGGGGGATAGGTCCAACCTCCCTCACCCCCGGGCGGGGGGGGGGGGGTTGGAGATGAAACATCTCTCACCCACTGGCAGGGGGGATAAAACATCTCTCACCTAGTGTCTCACCCAGTGTTCACCCACAGGGGCACCAAATCCCCTAGACCTGCCCCCACCTGACTCCTTTGCCCCTCCTCCAATGACCTTATCCCAGGCCCCTGAACCCTCTTACCTCCACAGGGTACTCCTCGTGAGCGGTGAAGTTGACAGATGGCTGGTTAGGTTGAGTCATAGTCTCCTCGATTGTGGAGTCACAGTAATCTTCACTCAGCGCCTGGCCAGTAGGGGGTGGAGTGTACGGCCTCGCTCGGTGCAGAGTTGGGGAGCTGTCTCCTGTCAGCATGTCATCTGCAGACTTGTCTAATTCTGACATCTCGCGTTCGACTACCATGGTGATGGTGGGTGCTGTGCCCGTAAGAAGTGCTACTGCCTGATCATGCCTGGCATCTGCCATCTCTACCCCATTGATCTGGAAATATGCGCAAACCTGCAGTCAGTTCACATTGAACTGCAGCCCCAGTGTGCCCACCACATTGCTCCAGCCAATCATTCACAGCCTTCCAATATTTCACACATACTTCAGAATAAAGGGCCTGTTTTCACACTGTAGGGATTCTATAAGAGGGTCCTGAACTCAGCTCCATGCAGATCCACATCAGCGCTGAGGGGGCGCCGCACTGTCGGAGGGTCGGCGCTGAGGGGGCG